ATCTAATCCTGTTTACATGAAATAAGCCTGCTCCCGAGCAGGTTTAAGCTTATGGACCTGTTGCTATGACAGCAACTCCAGGATGAGCTTCGAAGAACCAAACAATTCAAGATCATGCCAAATCGTCAACAATCAAATCCAGCTAACTGAGTTAGCGACGTACGAAGAACGGGCCCCTGGAATTACAAAATCAATCATGGCTAATTTTAATCTATTGATACTCCTATTTTCTGCTAATAATAAACGTTTGAAAACAAGCTAATCATCATTACAGCAGAAATACTAGAGGAAATATCTTGAATGTTGTGTTGGATAAGTTGAAGAATCGTAGGTTTTAACAACAATAATTGTGTTTTGTATGTCAGGGGCCCATTTCAATAAGGAGGTTCAACCAGCTCTGAGTTAAAACTTGAATTGCAGCAATATAATATATAAATAAAATATATAAATAAAAATATTTCAATTATGCAAACAGAATTCAATTCCACTGTCAAGCAGCTCTAAAGAGAAATGGAGTGTATTACTCTAAGGAAAATAGACCAATTTGTTGGCAGAGGCTATTTACATTAACTCCGCCCATTTTGTCAGACTCATGCTTCTCCTTTTCCCATCACATACCAGATCAGAAAGAAATTTATTTTCAATAAAAATTAAGTAAATATTTGAAAAGTGGAAATAAAATGTTTCAATAATACAGTGTTGTGTATGCTTCAGGTAGGTTTTTGTCTCAATAAAGTGGCATTCATCTAATACAATTTTTATATACATGATAATTTACACTCAATATTGCATACTGTTTTATAATGTACTACAGTATTGAGGAATAAATATCTGCCACCTAGCTACTATTTACACTCCTGTTGCTAAAGAAAATGCTGCTATTTTAGTGTAAACAGAATTGATCATTATTTGCACTTAGTGTAACTAGAATATATCGCTTTTTAATATATCGCCACTTAGTGTAACTACCAAAAATATCAATAAAGACAGCTCAGTGTTGATTTAGTTCTGTCCAATATGTAAAGTTAATCAATTATGAAATGAGTTCAATTGGGCAATATAGCATTGTTTACTAGTATGAAGCCTTATTAACAAGCCTTTGTAAAAAGAACAGTTAGCTCATTTGTTTCTAAGGTAACAACCTTGACAGCTGTGCTGAATTAATGTTCAGTGTTTGTCATGTGACAGCACTTAAGCATACTACTCTGAAACATTTATTGCTTATTGTATACTGTTTCACACACTATTCTTTAAAAAAATAGTAGGCAGTATGCACTGTGTACTGGGCAGTAAGCGGTAAGCAAGTATGCCATTTCGAACACAGCCTCTGAGTTTAGCGCGTGCACCACGACTATGAAAAGCCATGATCAATGGAGCTCCGATATTACGATTCACCATGGCAACAGTACCCGACAAAAAGACGTCTGCATACTTCAGAGTCAATACAAGTTTAATTCTTATCACTGTTATAATACCACAGATGAAAACTGGCAGAACGGTAGGTTATTGACCTAATAGGCTATTAATTTTCATGGTATCCCATGGGCAAAAAAAATAAAAAATAATAATAATAATAATTTAAGTGCAATTTTCTTATTTTACAAATGATCTGAAGAAAAATACGGCAGCGGCTATTTACACTAAGTGGAATTAGCATACTCTCTTAGCGATAGATCCTATTTACAGTAGGCTCAGTACATTTACAGTAGCTCTAGATGCTATTTACACTTAGTGAAACTAGTGATATATTCTATTTACCATGTAAAAGTAGCAGTTCTTTGCAATAAGTGTAAATAATAATTAGATGCTATTTATACTTTATACTGGCGGATACATACTATTTGCACCTCAGTTTTGTTGTAGCCTATGCAACAGGATGCAATAATAACAGAGTGTAAATGATTAGATTTATTAAAATTATAAATACCTTTATCATTATTAAACACTCGTTAGGCACTTTACTTCCACTTTTAGAACATTTTCTAAATTCTAATGTGATATGTGATGGGAAAAGTGAGAAGAGCGAGCTCGGCAAAAGTCAGACTCGAACCCGATCAATCACGTCACAAGCTAGTTCTCCGCACCCAACGCATTACTGCCTACACTACTGAAGTCGTTAATCAGTCACGTCGTATTTAACCTTGTGTCACATTGGAGGGTGGAGCTACTGTAAATTTGCACATAGTAATAGACACTCCGAATAATCTTGTTTTCCATTTGCATTAAGATTATTTTTATTACCACACTGGCAGATAATTTTACTTATGTAAAATGCACTTAATTTAGAAACGGAAAACCCAGAGTTTCCCTCATTTCAGGGTTAACAGTTTTCATTTAACCTCCTTTCTGAAACGGGCCCCAGGACAGATAAACATTGTTTATTGATCCCAGAGTAGGTCAACTTAAGACAAACATCTTGAAGAAAAAAAAAATCAAGATTATTTACAACTCTTTTAAACTTATAACTCTTTTGGAGATTTTTTTCCAAAGCAAGCAAATATTAAACACTGCAGCGTTAATATTAGAAGTGACATGGTGAGACACAAAATTCAGTGATGAGAAAAAAAATAAAATTCAAAAACAAACATTCAACTTACTTTATCAGACTTAGAGCTGCTGGAAGAACTTTGTAACTGAAACATAACCAAAAGGGGTTTTAGAATACTTCAGGACACTAGGGTATGATATGATCAGCCCTGAATAGTGGGCTCTGTTTGAGACTGATGTCTTTTTTTTTTAGGGCAAGTTATTTATTTTTCATTGGCTCAAGTTAAAAAATATAGATGTGAATCATTACCCTACATCTTTTTAATTGGATGAATGAAAAACATTTTTCAGTGACGTTGTCTGAAAGTTGAGAAACAAATGCCATGTTCACACTGCCCAAAAAACTTGATGTTGTGGGGGAAGCCAAGCATGATATTCCTTTAGACTAACTGATAAAGAATGGCACAAACAACAGAAAGGTCATGGGCTTGGTTTCCCAGGAACAGCCATGCCAGAAAAATATGCAACAAGGAATGTGCACACAAAAACTAAATAATAATACAATAAAGGAGTAATTAATGGAGGACAAGAGACTTGCAGAGGTTTATGGTCATGGTGAGAATTGTGACAAAATCAACAAAAGTAAATGTAAATTTAAAAAAAAGTGCAAAAAAAATTAATATTCCAATCATTCTTCCAAGATTTTTATAATTTTAGATTTTTTATTTTAACATATTTTACTAAAATAATTTTAGATTACTTATTTGCTTTGAATTTATACCCTAATAAATCTGATATATTTTCATTGTAAAACAAGTTCATTTTTATGTATTTATAAAAATGCATCTTGAAAGTACTGCAAGTCCATTTGTATAAAAGAATCTTGTTTAACACAGTTTTTTTTTTTTTTTAACTGCATTATCCACATTTATTCTATGTGAACCTTCAATGTGAATGCTGTCAAAGAACATTAAATAAATGTAATCCATAAAGTGTGGGAGAAATTATTTTTTAATTACTGCAGATTAGCACTGAGGTTTTTCACTGAGAATTTTGAAGCAGAAAAAAAAAAGTTGTGTTCATTAGATATTGGCGTGTTATTGTATTGTAGCGTAAACCTTAGCCTTACAAAATTTCTTTGTTATTTTTATTATTATTAGCTATACAGTACTAGGAACTGTTGCCAGTGTTGCTGGGCAATGAGGTTTAAAAGCCAGTAAAATTTATTATTTGCCTTTATGCTGATGTTGTTCTGTTACTACTAAGATGAAGTTGGTGAACAACACTATTGCCAATGTATGCAGTGACCCTGCAGATGAATTTTATGGCAACAGCACATGACACGGTTTCTGAATGTGCAGCAGTCTGAAAAATACACTGCATGTAACCACTCACAGTTCACCATCAACTGTGAACATGAAGGGAACAAATACAGTACAAGGTAAACTAGATCCAGGTCCAAACAACTAGTGTAAAAGTGTCGCTGTAATATTTAAATGTGGTCGTTTCCTCACCTTTGGTTTTATGGGTTTGAGTGTAGGAATATCAGTCCCCTCTGCCCTTTGCCTGCTGGAGTCAAACACCTTTCTCTTCTTTGCAGCTGTCTTCTGGCAGATCGGCACATGTTTTTTCTACAATAGGTAATCAGGTGGGCAGGTATCAAATAACTGTGACAGCATTGCGCTGACTGAGTAATTATACCAGGTTTTGTGTTTACTTTGTGACCTGGGAGAAATACATGCCTTGTTGCTAATCTTGATTTGGCAACTACATAACAACATAATTGGCTAGTATATTGCTGGGCAACACATAATGTAAACTACCGTTCAAAGATTTTTTTTTTTTTTAAATAAATAAATTAATTAATATTTTTATTCAACAATGAGGCATTAAATTAATCAAAATTAACAACAAGGACAATTATAATATTACAAAAGATTTCAAATAAATGCTGCTCTTTGGAAAAAATGTACCAAGTTTTCTTGAGCAGCAAATCAGCATATTTGAATGATTTCTGAAGGATCATGTGACACTAAAGACTGGAGTTTTCGGCTAACGAAAATTCAGCTCTTCCATCACAGGAATAAATTAAATTTTAAAATATATTAAAACAGAAAATTGTTTTCTATATAATAATAACAACATTTCACAATATTACTATTTTTACTGTATTTGTTAAATAAAATAAATTCAGCCTCGATGAGCATGAAAGAGTTCTTTAGAAAACTTTTTTTTTTTTAACTTTTGAACTGTAGTGTACATTCTGTATCATACTGCAACTTGCAAGGCAACCTATAATAATGCACATACACTAACACAGTAAAAAATATTATTTATATATAGTTATATGTTTAATTTAGAATGTCACATTGGGATTTTTATTTTTATGTTTGCACACACATTTGAATGGCAAGATAATTTACATCAACCACCAGCTGTCAGCTCATCATCCATTCAGAAATACTTACAAGAACCTTTGAAAAAAAATTTCTTCCACATATTTTGCAGGGCAGCAGGTCTTCAGAAACAGGAGGAGGAGATTCTGTAGACAAAACACAAAGAATAAATAGTAACAGATCAACATGATAAAATAGATAAAAACACAAAAATGATAAAGATGAATAGTTGAGTGAGTCTATCTGGGTGTGCCGATCAGTTCACTCAGATACAGGGTGAAGTGTAGAAATAGGTCACTCCTGTCAGTCCATGTAAAACAACTGAGGGACAGACTGAAGGCAGGAACCTAAGGATGTGAAGGATGCTGGGAGAAGAAATCTTGACATTTGATTTTTATTTATTTATGTATTTATTTTAAAGAGTAGAACAGAGCATTGAAATGTAATGCAAGTTGTATAGCTCACTTCACATGAATCAAATATCACAACAAAAGCACTTCAGCTATCTACCAATCTATCCATCTATGTAACGTTACAGTATGTACGTATATACACACAGTTCAAATAACAGTTAAACGTCAGTATTTTCCTACAAGACGTCATTCTCTTCCATGGTGATAACCTCCAACAACAGCGACCGAATAACCCAAAGCTGCTCTCCCTTATACAACCTCACGGATTGAATGCTAAACGTTAGAAGCGTCATATTCAAAATATTTACATAAGCATCTTTTGTTGCTTTTTTAAAGACTTACCTTCTATTTCCTCCATCTTTCTTGCCTGGCAAGACACTAAGGACGATGCTGTAGCAACTAGGCTCTTCTAGGTAGCCGCTCCACATGCTAGTATCCTTATTTTTGATTGGTCTTTTCCCGTTTCCTTGCAGAAATAAACGCCGTGCAGTACTTGCAACTGGCAGCTAGGTGGGACGTGTGAGGCGGCCCGACTGTGTATTACAATCTATAGAAAGATTAATAATCTTCCACCGATATTTGACGTTATTACACATAAAAACTGATTTTCTGCATCCAGACTTACTCTAGTACGTGTTAGTACAATTTATTTTTCTTGTTATTATATTTGCTGGCAAATTTCCAGACCCAAAGCTACTATTTGCAAAAGCAAAATAAAGGAATATTGTCCCTGTCAGATGCCATATTGCACCATATTCGTCTGTTTTAAGGATCCTGTTCACATGGCCCTGGGAAGCAACAATCAACATGTGTTTCAGACGAAATGTCAAACAATAGAGCCCTTGTTTAAAAACTGAATTGCTGAATGCTGGGTAGCAGCAAATCTGCCATGTGTGGTGAGAAATGCATTTCAAAGCAACAGCTGCACTGTTTGGAATTTACTTAATGAAATCATACGGACAGCAGCGTTTTATCTGAAATTGCACATATGTGACCCTGGACCACAAAAGCAGTCATAAGGGTACATTTTTTAAAATTGAGATTTATACATCATCTGAAAGCTGAATAAATAAGCTTTCCATTGATGTATGGTTTGTTAAGATAGGACAATATGGCTGAGATACAACCATTTGAAAATCTGGAATTTGAGGGTGGAAAAAAAAAAAAAAATTTTTAATTACCCTATATTAGTTAAATTACTCCGTTAAGTAATCAAATTACAGTAACGCGTTACTACGTAATGCGTTACTGCCCAACACTGTGATGTTAAATGTTGAAATTTACCTGAGTTGAGCAATTATGATAAACATGAGAATTGTGAAAAATTTGATTGGGCAAGTCTTACTGCAAATGACCTTTGGCTATATAAAATGTTAACAGGGAAGAGATTAAAGTAACATAGTTGTATCAACTGATTATGTGTGATAATGTTAACTGTAAGAATTCTAAACAGACATAATTCTACAGTATTTATTAGCTTTTTAGATGCTTCTAAGGCATTTGACCGAATTAATCACACTAAGTTGTTTATAAAGCTACAAGACAGAGGGGTTCCCCCATATTTGATTAGGATTTATACATCAACCTATACAAGTCAGATGGGGTAGGAATGTTTCGGCACCCTTTTATGTGACGAATGGGTTTCAGCAAGGTGGAATATTATCACCTCTTCTTTTTAATTTGTATATGGATGATCTCTCTGTTGAGTTAAATGAGTGTAAAACTGGATGTGTAATAGGTGGTCGTATGAACCATTTGATGTATGCTGATGACTTGAGTTATTCTGTCCCCTTATAGTGTTGGGTTACAACAGTTGCTTCGTGTATGTTCAAATTATGGTGCAGTATGATATTGTATTTGATATTAAAAAGAGTGTGGTTATGATTGTTAAAACTAAAGAGGATCGTAAACAAAAGTTTCCCTCCTTTTGTTTAGGTGACCAAGTATTGAATGTGGTAAATAAAATAAAATATCTAGGTCACATTATTAGAGATGATTTAAATGATGATGATGATGATGATGATGATATGCAACGCCAGTGCTGTAAGTTATATGGAGAGGCAAATATGTTGGCTCGTAAATTTTACATGTGCACTGTTGATGTAAAAATAGCACTTTTTAGAGCTTACTGCACTTCTTTTTATACGTCACACTTATGGTGTAGTTATAGTAAAGCTAAAATGAAAAAGGTGGCATTGTTATTCTGCTGAAGTTACCAAGGTGGATAACTGCAAGACAGTTTTTTGTATGACGTTCCTACTTTGCATGCTCTTTTAAGGAATTATAGTTTCATGTCGACTAAGTGATTCAAGAAATATCATAATGGCCTTAAATGATCCAACATTAAGTGACACTAGGTATTCTTCCTTGGAAGCACTGGAATTCAAGTTTGTATGTTTTTAAATAGTGATTGTTGTATGTAAATGTATGTTTGAATGTGATTTTCTTCCCTTGTTTCTTGTATTCTGTTTGTGATATGGACCTAAGGGTCTGAAATAAATAAATAATAATAATAATTATTATTATATTGTTGCCTATTGCTACAAATGTACCCGTGCTACTTATGACTGGTTTTGTGGTCCAGGGTCACATATTTCCTATTAAAAAATCAAATGAGAACTCAGGCGAACAAATCGTTCTCTTTCACTTGCATTCAATTAATCATATATTTAGTTCAATCTTCCTTTTGAGAGACTTTTTCGCACCTAATAAAAGGAGTCAACTCATTCTCATCACATAAAAGAATCAGGCACGTAAATCAGTCTCACTTTCAATATGAGAGAAATTTGGCGGGAAAACAATACATCGACCGAACTGTCTTTTTAAAGAATGGACTCTTTTCACAAGACTGTGAAACGGTCATCAGCATCGTAAATCCTCGAAAATTTTTAATATTTGTATTTAAAAAAAAATGTATCTACATTTATAACTCTATTCTTTGTATTATATCACTTTTGCATCAAATTACAAAAAAACAGTTAATGCTAATGCGAGGGTGTTTCTAATGCAGCGTCTATGGGAAGGACGGTAAATTTGACATCGTTCTCTCTTCTGACAGCCGTTATCAGTCTCACAATCTCAATTGTTTTCCTTTTATTGAAAGCCATGAAAACACTATCGGGGAGTTTTTCTTTTGCTATTTGAGCAACTGCGAATGCAAAAATTTTTGTGGTGCTCTCCTATTCACTGCTCTTCAAGTTTACCCAACTATGACGACTTCTGCTGCTGAGAAACCCGGAAATGTGAAAAAGGTCCATCATGAGTGAACGTGTCATCATAACAAAAACGACCCACTGTCGCCACCTACCGGCGGAAGTCGAAACCCAATACAAAGAGTCACTAAACGAATCAGTGAACTGATTCAGAAGATTCGAGTCACTGAGATGAATCAAACGCCTCAGCACTACTGAGCATAAGCAGAAAGAGTGGTTTTGGATAATCCTCGCATATCATCAGCACTCAGTAACGCGCATACGTCATCCCTCTCTTGTCTTGCAGACTCACTGAACCAGCAGCAGCAGCAGCACTGACAGCACCGTCGCATCCTACTGAAGTATTAACCAGAGCGACAAAACTGCACAGCCGTGGCCATTAGGAAAACGTCCAACCTAAAACAGGTACGATTTGCGAATTCGCTCGGCTTTATAGATAAGCCCTCTGAGTCGTATTCTATGATAAGCGTGCCTGTTTCATTAGCGTCTGTGTACAGCCTGTCAGATTTGTATAACCCGTTGCATTCATATTAGTTCAAACGCCGTAGGCTGTGCTGTAAATGAAAGAATTGTTCCTTTGGGATTTGCACTTGTAGCTGTCATATCTGGATATGTCGTGTTGGATACTGTTTTGATGTGATGTTATTACCGAGTACACGTGACATGTCAAGGATGAGAGCGAGTAGCCAGTGTCTTACCACAAAAAGATGTATTATTTCTTTGTATTTTAATTTTTACGTCATATAAAAGAATGCATTTTACGCTCTAAATGTTCATAAATCTGTCAGGATTGTGTGTTCATTTAAACAAAGGCAAAGAGGAAGAGCTAGAATATCACAACAATATCTATTGTTTCAGTTCGGCTTCGGTTAATAAGGTGATTTATATTCTGAGTTTGAGGCAATGAAGGGTTTAACTATGAATGAAGCTATTATTATGATGCACATTGTAACTAACATTAGAGCTCTTATAATTCCAGAACATTCTCCATTATAATATGTCAGAGGTCAAAATTGGAGTGCCAAAAAAAAAAAAAAATGTGAATGACTATTTAGTTTAGACCATTAGTTTTAAAAATTACATAATAATAATAATAATAATAAATAATCAAATAAATAAAGACACTGTAATGAATCAAAAATGTTAACTGTAATATTTAATGACTATTTCATTTGACTTCTTTTTATATGATGACAATTCTGTTTATATTATCACTCGCTTCCCCTGAAACCACCTGTTCTCAGGTCATGCCTCAATACTTCATATAGATTAAAATGAGTAAACTGGAGTATAAATGTATCTTTTACCATTGCATATTTATGAAAACATTTATATTAGGTACAATCATATTCAGTGTTCATTCTGAATAATATATATTCAATACAATTTATTTTATTTTATTTTTGATTTTTTATTTTACTATGGCACCCATATTAAGTGAGAAAATAGATGAATGTTGCACCTGCTTCTCAATTTAATTCTTATAAACTTTTATTTTCTAAGTTGCAACCTGTTCCATCCAGGGACTCAGACATCAGTGGTGTACACATTATGCAAAAAAGAGGCACACCCATCTCTGCACTCTTTCTACAGCAGTCATGTTTTGTTCTTTGTTATGTAAAATGTGAACCCGCTGAACCTCTGTTGTTGAATTCTCAGTTTGTTAGGGCTGTTTTGTCCAAACCGTTGCACAAGCTGTCTCTGAGGGTGCGTTGGTGGATTCCACAGAGGTCTACCTAGACATAGGCAGGGTAAGCGTGTGTGACAAGTCTTCTGCATGGTTGTCACTGTTGCCTTGAGGAACTGCTCACTCAAGTCCATATTGATTTTTTGGACTTGGACTTTAATTACTTAGCCAAGTGAGCTTTAGATTGTCTCTTTCCCATTTATAAATGGAAAAAGACCATTCATTTAGTGCTTACAGCCAGAGGCATATCAATAGGATGCAAGAATATGGTATATTAAGTACAGTAGTGAATAAAAGTCTCCGAATTTTCTGTATTTCTACATAACTTTGACCTTCACTTGAATTAGATATTCATCGTATTACTACAAAAATAAAGTCGAATTCAACATATTGTACACTTTTTTGTATTTTTTCACTTATTTTAGTTGGAGAAATGGTGTATGTGAGTACCGTATTGACCCGAATATAAGATGATGTTTTTTTCTTGGAAATACATCTGAAAAAACGCGGTCGTCTTATATTCAGGGTCTAGACTTTGACATGTCAATAATACACCCACAACAATAGGTGGCGCCAAATACGCATAAAACGAGTGTGCCATGAAATACGTAATGTAATGCGTGTTGTAAAGATCGCGAGTAAAAACAAAAGAAAAAGAAAACCTTACAGCTGCATGAGTCATGACTGTCATGTTAGCCAGATGGGACCAAACTCCCTTTGTGATTTTAAAACGTAAGACAGTACCCAGATTTGAAGACTACAGTAAGATTTAACTTCTACTGTTAATAAGATTCTGGTAGGCCACTATTAGATGGATAGCCTAAATGTCCTAATTCAAATGGGCTACCTGTTTTTTTTTTTTTTAATGGTATATCAAGAAGTGTATATTTTTTAAATGTGATTGTTGGTACATTTTACCAGTTTTTGCCATACTTTCAAAACAAAAATTAAAATAGGAAAAATATGCAATATGAAAATAATTGAAGACAAAATGAGAAAAAACAAGATTTGTTTTTTAAAAAGCCTTTTTCCAAAAGGTACATCTGGAAAAAGGGGGGGTCGTCTTATATTCGGGCCAATACGGTATAATGCTGTGAACATCCCTTTAATGATGACCTCCTTATGGGTGTTTCACCACACAGTGGCACCATTTTGAAGGCAACAGCTGAGAATGACTGTGCTGAGATGATAACATGGGCTAAATATAACTCAGGGAAGACCGTCCTCACATCTCATGAGTGATATTTAGTTCAACAAAATTCTAGATAACCTTGCAGATTTGAGCCACATCTGTTTTGATGATCTATTCAGGGATCAGATGATTAAAAATGTTTTATGGGACATATTTTTCATGCAACATACAAAAAGAATCTCTAGTAAGAAAGGAATTCAGAAGGACAATTTAGAAATGCATGACATCACAAATGTGACACAGAATAAACAGTCCCTTATCCAAGCTTATCTTGGCCAGATTATGACTGCTTATATAATCTTTACATTGTTACTTGCTTGGGATACCTAATGGTTAAAATAGTTGTTGTTCAAATGTTTATCAGTTATAGAATCAGTTTGAAAATATTAAAAATATATGAATTTATGAATTTTACCCTACTGTTCAAAATTTGGGGATCAGTAAGATTTTTTTTTTTGAAAAAGTTTTTGAAAGAAGTCTCTTATACTTACCAAGGCTGCATTTGTGTGATCAAAAATACAGTAAAAACAGTAATATTGTGAAATATTATTACAATTTAAAATAGTTTTTTTTTAATTTAAATATGTTTTAAAATATAATTTATTCCTGTAATGGTAAAGCTGAATTTTCAGCAGTCATTACTCCAATGTCACATTATGCTACAAAATCATTTTATTTAGGTGATTTGGAGAATAGGGAACATTTCCTATTATTAACTGTTGAAAACAGTTAAATATTATTATTTTGTTGTTGTTGTTGTTGTGAAAATAATAAATATTTTTCAGGATTCTTTGATGAATAGAAAGTTCAAAAGAACAGTATTCATTTGAAATAGAAAACCTTTGTAACATTATAAATGTTTCACTGTCATTTTTAATCAATTTAATGTCTTCTTGCTGAATAAAAACAAATGTCTTAAAAACATCTTACTGACCCCATACTTTTGAAGAGTAGTTTACACTAGAGCTGTATAAATTCTAGCTTGTTGCATATTTTTTGTAAAGAATGTTTAAAAAAAAAACATTTAATGAAATGAAATCAAATATTTAATTTATTTAATTTATAATTTAT